AGGTTCTCTTTTCACTTTGAGCCTATGTGTATCCTTAAAGCTGCCAGTCAGTCAGTCTCTTGTAGGCAGCATATAGTTGGGTCTTGCTTTTTGTATCCATCCAGCTACTCTGTGTCTTTTGATTGGTGAATTCAATGCATTTGCATTTAGAATAATTATTGCTATGTAAGACTTACTAGTGCTATATTATTGATTGCTCCCTGGTTGTTCTGTACTTCCATTTTTTCTGTTCCCCTCTGTTTCTACTTACCTTTGTAAATTGATGTTTTTCCATGTGGTATGCTCTGTTCCTTTCCTTTTTAATTTTTTGTGAATCTACCCTAGATTTTTGCTTTGTTGTTACCACAAGGCTTACATAAAATATTATAGATATAACAGTTTATTTTATGCTGATAACAAGTAACTTTAATTGCATATAAAAACTCTACACTTTTGCTCTTCCTTTTTATGTTTTTGATGTCACAATGTGTTTCTTTTTAACTGTGTATTCATTAACAAATTTTGTAGCTATAGTTATTTTTATCATTCTCATTCTTTAACTTTTATACTAGAGCTATGTGGTTAATACCACTCATATTACAGTATTTGAGTATTCTGACTTTGTCTACATACTTACCTTTTTTAGTGTACTGTATATTTTCATATGTGTTCATGTCAGTAATTAGTGTTCTTTCATTTTGGCTTGAAGAACTCCTTTCAGCATTTCTTATAAGGCAGGTCTACTGGTGATGAATTACTTCAGCTTTTGTTTGTCTAGGAAAATCTTTGTCTCTCCTTCATTGCTGTAGGGTAATTTGCCAGATAGAGTATTCTTGGTTGGCATTTTTTTTTTCTTTTAGCACTTTGAATATATCATTACACACATTCCTGGCCTGCCAGGTTTCTGCTAAGAAATCTGTTGGTAACTTTCAGGGTTTGGTTCCCTTGTAAGTTATAAGCTTCTTTTCTCTTACTACTTTCAAGATTTTCTCATTGTCTTTGAGTTTTGACAATTTTATTACCATGTGTCTTGGAAATTATCTCTTTAAGTTGATTTTGTTTGGTGACATATGAGCTTCATGAACTTGGATATCCAAATCTCCTCCCAGATTTGAGCAGTTTTCAGTCACCATTTCTTTAAATATGCTTTCTGCCCTCCTTCCCCTCTCTTCTTTTTCTGGAACTCCAATAATGTGTGATTGGTGCTTTTGATGATATCCTAGTTCACACAGGTTTAAGTTTCTGTCACTCTTTTTCCTTTGTTGTGCTCTGACAGGATCAACTCAAAGTTCCTGTCTTCTATCTTACAGATTCTTTCCTCTGCTTGATCCATTCTGTTGTTGATCACTGTTGCATTTTTTCATTTTTTTGTATTCCTCAGCTCCAGAGGCTCTTTTTCTGTGATTTCTATCTCTATTAAACTTTTCATTTTGTTCATGTATTGTTTTTCTGATTTTATTGAATTATCTTTCTGTGTTTTCTTGTACTCATTGAGTTCCCTTAAAACAGCCATGTTGAATTCTTTTTCAGGTAAATTGCAAATTTCCATGTCTTTGTGGTTCGTTACTAGAGAATTAATTGTGATCCTTTGGTGGTATTATTTCCTTTATTTTTCATGTTCCTTAAATTTTGCATTGCTGTCTTTGTGTTTGAGGTAATAGTTACCTCTGCCAGTCTTTATTATCTTTGGTAGAGAAATGCCTTCCCTCAGCCCCACTGGTGATTCTGAGGCTCCCTCAGACCTTCTATGGGTAAACCTGCTCTACACTTCTTTCTCCCTTTTGTGGCTGAATTCTTGAGCTTGTATGCCTTCTCTCAATCCTGCAGTGCACCAGGCGGAGAGCCTCCCTTTCATTTTCCCAAAGATGATGCGAAAGCTCATGTTTGTGATCTCCCCCTGGCCAATAGCTTTGGGCTGGCTTTCTTCATGTACTCACTAGCCATCTGCCAAAGCTTGTTCTCACTGCTGCCATCAGGAGCATGCACAGGGAACCAGCCACAGCATAGGGGACATATGTGGCTGAGGCATGCTGAGAGCTGGGGGTGCCCCTAGGCCAGTTGGGGGAATCCATGAGCCAGATGTTCCCAGTAGCCATGCTGAGCTCTCAGTGGTGGGCTTCTTGATGGAATCTGTGATGCAGTTAGTCTGCTTCCCTTTAATGCCTTGCAAGAATCTTTTCTGCTCCTCTCTCCACTTCTTTCTGCCTCGTGCTTCCAGCCATGCAGATCATGATTCAGTACTCTGGATGGGGTGGGAGAGAAATGAGCCTCTTTGGCAGCATCCTACACAGCTGGGGAAGCTGGATGCTTTTACTTTCCCCTGCAGGAGAAATGATAGGTTGAGAAGATCTCTCTTGGTCCTAAACTATGCTGCCTTGGGGGAAGGGTGATGTGGATAAAGTCAAGCTGCTCCTCTTACCTTATCCAGTGCACCCAAACTCATATATATATATATATATATATATATATATATATATATATATATATATGTATGTATGTATATTTTGTTTTTTACTCCAACTGTGTGCTGGAACTTCTTTTCTGGAAATCTGGACTTCCACAAGGGCTCTCTTGTCTGTGGGTGACTAAGAGTGCTTTCTAGGGGCTCCTAGACAGTGTCCAAGAGGGGTTAGGGTTGGTACACACCCACTGCAGGTTCCACACCTGGACTGAGGTCTGTGTGCCTGTTCTCTGATTCATGGTGGGGAAAACTCCTCCTGTGTTCCTTGGCATATGGTGCTGGTTCCCACAGCTCCCACAAAGCCACTTTTGTCCATGGATACAAACCAAATTCCTGGTTTTTGTTAGGGGACAAAAACAAAGGACATCTTATTCCACCATGTATTGACATCACCAGCTTATAGTTAAACATTGAATGTATCATCATCGTCACACATTTTCTTTGCTTTCTCTCCTTTCTACAAATAGAACTGAACTGAGTTCCAGGAAAGATAATGTATTTATGTATTCAAAGAAACTGAGAAATTACTATAATAGAGCTTGGTGATATTTATCCTTTAGATACTGCTTTTAAAATTCATGAAAATCCCATTTCTTCTAGAAGGTGTGCAAATAACTTCCATCTTTCCATTCACTGGGAGTGAATTTAATGTTGGTCACACAGTTTTGAGTATTAGTTACTTTATTTAACCTCTTCTTTACTTAATATTTAAACTCTTTGATACTTTCAGAAAGAAGAGAGAATTGACCTAATTATTACTTACTTAGTCCCAGGAAGGAAACTTGATAGATTGGGAAAAACAGCAGTTTTACTCAGATAGACCCAAATTTGCCTCCTAGCCTCACCACTGACCAGTGGAGTGTTCCTTGACAACTTGCTTTTCTTTTCTATGACTTAGGTTTTTACATTCTTAAATTGGGAATAGTCATACCCACCTTACAGCATTGTGGTGAGACTAAATGATAATATCAGCCAATTCTTATGTTGCCTAACATAGTAGTCCCTCAACAAATACTAGTTCTCTATTATTTTAAAGAGTCTTAATAAACAAAAGTCTTCCTTTTTACAACAGGAAATGTAACTGAGATCCAACCTAATTGTTCTCCTTTTCTGTTTATGACAAAAGATTGCTTTAAGAGAGGTGGTTTAGCTTGGTTTTGGATTCTAGGCTGGGAGTTATTTCCCTCTAACTCCTTGTAGATATTCCAATCTGATATCTCTGTTGGCTGATGAAACCTCTCCTGTAAGTGTACTTCACAGATGATCTGTCTTTTCTTTCTGTTTTTGCTCTTTGTTTTTGAAACTGTTTTGCCATGATGTCTCCACATGTGTAGATTTGTTTTCTCAGTCTATCTTCCATTTCACGAATTCTCCCTTCAGCTTTTCTGTGACAACGTGTTCTTTTTTATCATTGAGTTTTTATTTTTCTCGCAGTTATATGCAGTTTTAAAAAAGGAAGAAATTCTGTAAGCCTTGTTATGAAAACTGACTTCTATCTCACTCTCCAGAAACAGCCTTTAACTCTTAGCGGATTCTTTCATTTGCCTCCATATCTCCAAATAATAGGCTCTGATTGCTCCTTTGCTAGGTTAGACATTATGTATTGACTCTTCCCTATGGAAGATAAGGATGTAGCCCTTTTTTGTCCTCAGCCCCTCCTGCCATTTTCCATCCCTTCATTCTTTTAATGTAGTTATGTTCTATTTTCCTTAGCTAGATGTTTGTTTATATCATTATAACTGTGTAAATACAATCACGGTTGAACATACAGTATACCAGTGATCCTCAGCATGGTCTCCGAGACTCTTTCATGGAATCTGCAAGGTCAAAATGCATTTTTATCATAATACTAACATATTTGTCCTTTTTACTGTGTTGACATTTGACTAATGGTGCAGAGGCAACAGAAAGACTGGGACACCTTAGCACAAATCAAGGCAGTGGCATCAAACTGGATTAGTAGCTGTTGTATTCTTCTGTGAGTTAAATGCACTCACAGTTAAAAAAATTTTTTAGTGGCTTTGGGCAAGGTTTTTTATCTTAATTTCTTGGCTTGAGATTTCCATGTCACTTAAATTGTATGAATTGAGATGTCACACTCATAGATGCTGGACTTCTGATTTCTGTGCTTTTGATTTCTTGAGACTGATCATTTTTTCCACTTAAAATACTGGGCTACTGTCAGTGCTCTTTCCCTATCCTGATGGAGTTTTTCTAGTCCTATTTCCATGAATAAAGCAACTTTCCACTATGAAATTTATTCAGAAAGCTTAGCTTCATTTCCTTCATATTGTATAGGCTCCAGGCCATGTCTCCTTCCCTAGGTAGAAACTAAAGCACTGGGGAAAGTGTTGCCTTCATCAACATATATGTGAATGGTTAGAATGGGGGCAGAATATAAATTCGTTGATTTTAAAACTCTCATTTTCATGACCACTTATGCTTTCCTAGTAGTATATAAAAGTATTGTCTATGCTTGTTGTAGTGTGAAATAGGTTATGGTTTTCAGTTCGTTAATGGGATTAGCATATAAAATCACTTTTGAATACCACCCTTTCAGGAAGTGCTATTTACTGTACTGGATGCATCAACAGGAATCCTAAATGGGATTAAGAATATGCTGTCAAGTGTATTCCTACCAGCTATTCTTGCAACAAATAATTGGGGTGCTCTAAACCAGTCCAAGCAAGGAGAATCTGAAAAACACATTTTCACGGAAACCATCAACAGATACCTTTCATTTTTAGATGGTAAGTATAAAATTTAATGCTTAGTAAATTACTAAAAATGAGCAAATTAACTATATGTTATTTTTTAAGATTTTATTTATTTATTTGAGAGAAAGAGAGAGCACATGCAAGCCCACAAGCAGGGGGAGGGGCAGAGGGAGAAGCAGACTCCCCGCTGAGCAAGGAGCCAGATGTGGGGCTCTATCCCAAGGCCGTGGGATCATGACCTGAGCTGAAGGCAGATGCTTAACCAACTGAGCCACCCAGGTGTTCCTATAAGATATGTTATTAAAGATAAGCATTAGAGGAAAAAACATTCCATCTTAAAAGAAAGTGCTAATCAAAGTGATGAGTTGTAGAGGTAAGAAATCAAATCATTAGATCCTCTCATTTCCAGGGATCTTTGCAGGAGTACGATATGTTTTTTTTCTTCCATTATAGCAGGAAGATTCTTTTCCTATATTATTAATGAAAAATTTCACCACATTTTAAAATATCACTTTATTATTAGCTCTTTTAAAATTATATAATTTTATATTATTAAAATAATAATATTATTAAAAATTATCAAGTCACAATCTAATGAGCAATTTATATTATATTTCTATAAAGTATTTGATCTTTAACATTTGAGTAATTATAGCTTGAAAGCACACCTTGACATTAAACACCTCTTCTCAATATTGTTTCTTCCCTCATAGGTGCTAGAGTAAGTATTGAGGGAACAGTTATGTTAAAGAAGGTAGACAATATCGATTTTTCCAAACTGCATACATTTGAAGAAGTGACAGCTGCAGCTAGCAATTCAGAAACTGTTCGTCAGCTAGAGGAGGTGCTGATGACATGGTATAAACAGATTGAACAGGTGAGCTAACTCAAGTAATTACATCAGATATGAGTCATAGTTCTCATCTGTGTCCTAGCCATTGCATTTTGTCCCTAAAAGTAAGGGGAAGAGGAGTCTTCCAGATTCTGTTATGAAACTTAGCCTATTCTTGACTCTAGTGCAAAATTGTTGTTCTCTGTGGGCACTGAAAATCACTTTTAATTATTTCTCACTTTGGAGGAGGAACCATAACAATATGGGTTGAGAATGGAAAAATGAAGAATTAGGAGTAGCTAGCATTCATCTCCCAATATTTTATATATTGTTTATACTCTTCATGAGAGAAAGGAAGAGGGTACAGTGAAGTGACTATAGTCACGGTGCTAGACACTAAATAAATAGCTCTTGGTTGATCAGCGGAATTGTCTGTGTTGACCAAGAGGTTCAAAGTAGGCTCATCATGTCAGTACGGCATTGGTCAAATTTTTCTCTGGCAGTAGGAAAAGCTGCAATAGGAATGGGGCATATGTCAACATTCTGAGAGGTGCCAACTTACACTATACATACTGCCCCAAATCAGGTACTATGTAATTGCTCTAAACTGAAAGGGGACACTAGGAGCCAACTCACAAATCTCTAGTTCATGAGCACAGGACAATGGAACGAGAGAAGAAAATCTTCAGTTCAATGAAGACTAAGGTAAAAAAATCTTGACCAAGCACGAGTTAGGACATTTTCAATTTTACCTCTCTTAGAATTATGTTAGAAGGAAGGAGGTGCAGTTGGAATGGAAAAATTGGAGGACTTTGGAAACTCCAGTGGGGCCTGGAGTGCTGGCCACAGAATTTGTTCCAGGTGTCACTAGGAAATTGAAGTGGGTAATTGAGCACCACAGGACTTCTGTACTCACCTACTATGTCACTGGAGGAAGGGGGAGTTGTAACCCATTGCGGAAATCAGGCTCTGTCCTACACAATGGCTGAGGAGCTCCTCTCCAACTATTATGATCAATCAATACAGATTTTCTTTCATAAAAATGAGCAAACAAAAGAAAATAGCTTGAGATTTAGCAACTTGAAATAAGAAAATCAAGTTGGGCAATTGTAGCAGATGGCTCCAATTAAGGAGAATCAATGCAAGAAATAGGAAAGATCTTTAATCTAAAATAAAAATCTGAACTGTGAAGTCTAAAATAAACTTTGACCAAAAAATAAATAAATTAAAAAAAATAAACCTAAATCTTGACCTTGACCTCTTGTCATTCACAAAAATTAATCAAGATGGATTGTAGACATAAATATGAAAGCTAAAACTTAAAAAACAGATACATGCAACAACATGGATGAATCTCGAAGATGCTTTTGAGTGAACAAATGCAACCTTAAATAAGTAAGGTGAAAAGTAAAATGAAACCTATAAATGAGCCAGAACACAACATAGGACTATATTAATATGTTCTTAAATACAGAACCCAGAAGCCATGAAAGAAAAAAACTGACATTATTTGAGTATGTAAAAAAAATGTAGTAACTTCCATATGGCAAAAATTACCATGAGCAAAACTAAAAAAGGGGCACCTGGGTGGCGCAGTCAGTTAAAGCATCTGCCTTTGGCTCCTGTCACGATACCCAGGTCGTGGGATTGAGCCTCATGTCGGGCTCCCTGCTCAGTGGAGAGCCTGCTTCTCCCTCTCCCCACCCCCAACTCGTGCTCTTTCTCACTCTCACTCTCTCTCAAATAAATAAATAAAATCTTTAAAAAAACCCTAAAAAATAAATGACCTTCTGGGAGAAAATATTATCAGCAAAAATAACAAAGAGTTAGTATCCATAATATATAAAGAACTTCTATAAATCATTAATAAATGGGCAATAGAGAGAAAAATAGGCCAAGGATATGAGCCGTGTCATTTAAGGAAAGTATATGAAGATATTTGACCTAGGGAAAAAAAAAGGGGACTTGGGAGTATCATGATATCTTCAAATATTTGATGGGATTTCATGTCAAGTTAAACTTGCACTGTATGGCCCTAAATGGCAGAAGTAAGACCAGAGTATGATGGTTATAAGGAGAGAGATTTTTAATTTTGAAATCAGGATAACTTTTTCACAAAATCCTCTCCACACAAAAAAATTGGAATGTGCTGCATTCCTGAAAGTATCCACTTTGAGGCTGATTACTATCTATGAATACTGTTGTAACAGAAATTAAACATCAAAAGGGTTGTTTGATTTAGTTAATTTTTAAGGTCCATTTTCATTCCTTAATTCAGTGATTCAAGCTATTTAGACTTCCAGTCATTTAAGAAAACTTGAAACTATGTCTAGTATCCCCTATTTAAGGAGATGGGGAAGATTGTGAGACGATTAAGAAAGAGTTCCATATACCATGGTTAAAATTAAAAGCAAATAATTATTTCTTGGATTAAAGGAAGAACCTTTGTAGGTCTGAAAAATCAACTCTGTATTTTACCTCTTTGTATTCTTAAAACGTTCCATCACAATTTTAAATTATGTCAAGTTATGGGGTGCCTGGGTGGCTCAGTCACTTAAGGGTCCAACTCTTGGTCTAAGCTTAGGTCTTGAACTCAGGTTTGTGAATTCAAGCCCCATGACTGGGCTCCATGCTGGGTGTGGAACCTACTTAAAAATAAATAAATAAATAAATAATGTAACATTATAAACATAAAAAGTACAGAAAATAATATAACAACGACTCCTGAAACAATGACTCTTGAGATTAAACAGATACTGTTTGCCACATTTGCTTCGGATCTGTTTTATTTTCACAGTAGCCTCCAACCCATCCCTTTTCCCACCCTCTATATTACCACTGTCCTGATGATATTGTCTTCTCTCATTCCCCTGAAAGTTTCACACTTTTATTGCATTTGCATATTTATAAGCTTTAAATTATATATAAAAATAAATTATATATACATTATACATAAATACAGAATATATTTTTGTGATTAAAATCTTTACACAAATGGCATAACACCATTAAATATCATTTTACAGGTTTTTTTTTTTTCATTTAGCGTTCTCTTTCATCTACACTGGTACAGGTAAATTACTACTGTCTGGTATTCCTCTATAAAGAAATCAGTTTGCTATATAAATTTTCACACCTTAAAGACACATTTAAATCATGTCTAATATTCTGTGTTTAAGGAGGTAAAGAGGTTTATTCATCCATTCCCTCAGAAAGACAGTTGTTTCTTTTCTTTCTTCTTCTTCTTCTTTTTTTTTTTTTGGCTATTACAAACAATAATAATACACATTCAATGAATACCTGTATTCAGATCTCCTTTGCACATATCCCAGATTTCTCAGTGGAGTTGCTGAGAGCAATAGTATATAGATCTTTATTGGATATTACAAAGCCCTCCAAGTAGTGGTTATATTAACTTATTTTATTTTTACAGAGGCATATGAGAGTTCCCATTTCTTCAAATCTTTTGTTACACTTGGGATTGTTAGATTTTTAATCTTTGCCAGGATGTTGGGTGTGAAATGATATCTTATTTTGCATTCCTCTGACTTATACTGAGGTTGAGCATGTTCAATGGCTATTTAGGTTTCTTCTTTGTTGAGTTGCTTGTTCACATCCTTTACTTAGTTTTAGTTCAGATTGCTCCATGATATCTTACTGAAATGTTGGAGTTTAAATAATATTTCCCAGATGTTAATCCTCTGTTGGTCCGCATTGTGTCCTACATCTTAATTTGGTATGATGTCTTTAGTCAAGTGGAAGTTTTACATTCTAGTGTAAATTTATTAGTTACAAATTGTAATCCAGCTTCAACTTAGTTACCTCCAGTGTCTAGGAACTTCGTGCTTTTTGTATTTTATTTAAGAAACCCTTGTTTAGTATTATGAAGATATTCTCTTAAGTTATTTATTTATTTTAAATAGTGAAACCTACAGAAATGAATACAATAGGGCGCCTGGGTGGCTCAGTTGGTTAAGCGACTGCCTTCGGCTCAGGTCATGATCCTGGAGTCCCGGGATCGAGTCCCACATCGGGCTCCCTGCTCAGCGGGGAGTCTGCTTCTCCCTCTGACCCTCTTCCCTCTCGTGCTCTCTATCTCTCATTCTCTCTCAAATAAATAAATAAAAATCTTAAAAAAAAAGAAATGAATACAATAAAAGAAACAAATTATTGTAAAACAAACCTTCATGTAACTTTTTGCACAAATTAAGAGCAGCATTACTAGCACCTTACAATCTCCATATAGCCCTCTTCCCAGTTTCAACTCCCTTTTCTTTCCCCTGGTGGTAACAATTTCCCTGACAATTATGATATTTAGTTGCACGCTTTTCCTTTATCTCCTATATTTTCTTTAAAAGCTTTGCCATGTTGTTTTTAACATTTAGGTTTTTAATTCATCTGGATTTGTGTGTGTGTGTGTGTGTGTGTGTGTGTGTGTGTGTATGTAGGGTAGGAATCTAATTTTGTCTTTTTCCATATAGTTGGCCAATTGTCCCCAAAATAAGCTGTTTAGTTAATAGCCCATTGTTTACTTTTAAAAAAAATTTTTATTTAAATTAAATGAATTAATATTTAGTGTATTATTAATTTCAGAGGTAGAGTTCAGTGATTCATCAGTCTTATATAATACCCAGTGCTCATTACATCACGTGCCCTCCTTAATGTCCATCACTCAGTTACCCCATCCTTATACCCCTCCCCTCCAGCTACCCTCAGTTTGTGTCCTGTGATTAAGAGTCTCTTGGGGTATCTAGGTGGCTCAATCAGTTAAGCGTCTGCCTTCAGCTCAGGTCATGATCCCAGGGTCCTGGGATTGAGCCCCACATCGGGTCCCTACTCACTGGGGAGCCTGCTTCTCCCTCTGCCTCTACCTCTCTCTCTCTGTCAAGTGAATAAATAAAATCTTTTTTTTTTTAAAGAGTCTCTTATGCTTTGTCTACCTCTCTGATTTTGTCTTGTTTTATTTTCCCCACCCTTTCCCTATGATCCTGTTTTGTTTCTTAAATTCCACATGAGTGAGATCATATGATAATTGCCTTTCTCTGATTGATTTATTTCGCTTAGCATAATACCCTCGAGTTCCATCTACGTCATTGCAAGTGATAAGATTCCTTTTTTGATGGCTGCATAGTATTCCTGTGTGTGTGTGTGTGTGTGTGTGTGTGTGTGTGTGTGTGTGTGTGTGTATCATACCTTCTTTATCCATTCATCTGTTGATGGGCATCTGGGCTCTTTCCAGAGTTTTAGCCCATTGTTTCCTAACACACTTTTAATATCACTTCTGTAATATGTCAAATTTCAAATCCCACTGTCTATCCCACTGGTGTACTTACTTGGGTTTTGCACTCATGTAATACTGCTTTCATTTCTGTAGTTTTTTACTAAATCAGTATTTGCCCTGGCAAGTCCCTTTCTGTATTTTTCTTCAAAATTGCATTGATTATTTCTGGTTAATTGTTCTTCCAAATTAATTTTAAGACTAGTTTGTCAAGTATCACAAAAAACCCTATTGAGATTTTGACTGGTTTTCATTGAATGTATACATTAATTTAGAGAAAATTGTCATCTTTATATGGTTGAATTTTTCCATCCATGAACATGGCATCTCTCCATTTTTTTTTAGGTTTTCTTTTGTATGCTGAAATTAAGTTTTCTAATTTTATTCGCAAAGATATTGCACATCCTTTGCTAATCTCTAGATATATTATCATTGTTGTTATTTGTTATACCAAATGCTCTTTTTTTAGAAATTACATTTTCAGATTGCTAGATGGCTTGTAGAGAAATGCTAGTGATGTTTATGAATACATGCAGTAACCTTACTGAACTATCCACTTTTACTAAGTGTAAAAGTTTATCTTTAGATATTCTTGAATTTTAAAAATGTGACCAACCATATCATCTTTGATTATGCCATTTTTGTTTTTTCATTTCCAATTCTTATGCCTTTACTCTACTTATCTTGTTTGGAGACCTCCGTTACCAGGTTGAATAGAAGTGGGCAGTGTTAGTGGCAAACTTGTGTTGTCCTTGGTTTTAAAGTGATATTTTCTAAAATTTCATCCTTAGGTATGAGTTTGCTTTGGATTTTTGGTAGATACTATTTATCATGTTAAAGAAGTTCCCTTTTGCTCTCAGTTTTCTAAGAGTTTTTAATATTATTCAGTGTTCAAAGTTATTTATTTATAAGCTTCCTTTGAAAAGATGCAAATAATGAGGTTTTACCAAAGAAGAAAGTAACATTTCCATAGTCTCTGAGTTCTTTTGATTGCAGGTACTTATTGAGAGTGAGCAGATGAGAAAAGAAGCTGATGACTCAGGTCCACTCACTGAATTGGAACACTGGAAACGCATGTCAGCCAAATTCAATTACATCATTGAACAGATTAAAGGGCCAACTTGTAAGGCTGTCATAAATGTGCTTAATGTTGCACACTCCAAACTGTTGAAGGTAAAAGGCCTTTTATTTTAAAGTTTGTTATGTTTCTGAACAACCAACTGGAAAATTACCCTTCTTGAACTGCTTCTTCACATCAATTACTGAAACCATATACTTAGAAGTGTTAAACTTTGAGTAAGGCTTTCTTATATTCCACTATTATTTCCCAAAAAAGAAAAGGAAGTATAGAAATAAAGATTTATTTATCAATATTTTAAAAAAATATTTTATTTATTTATTTGACAGGGAGAGAGAGACAGCGAGAGAGGAAACACAAGCAGGGGGAGTGGGAGAGGGAGAAGCAGGTTTCCCGCGGAGCAGGGAGCCCGATGTGGGACTCCATCCCAGGACCCTGGGATCATGACCTGAGCTGAAGGCAGATGCTTAACTGACTGAGGCACCCAGGCACCCCCATTTCTCAATATTTTCACACCAATTTTGGCAATACTCCTATGGGGTGATTGCCATTTACTTTTAATTTGTTTTTGAAAGTGTGAATCAATAGAGGCTCAGGGAGGTAAAGAACTACATAGAAAGTCAAAAGCAAAAATGTGCTGTCAGTATACATCTCCTGTCCACTATTACACAGCTTGGTTTGATTCTAGGTTGTTTTCTTTTGCTGTATTCTTCCCTAAAAAAGATCTATCTATCTTTATCTTTCTATCTGTATGTATATCCTATCCTCAAAGACCCAAAGTAATATAATGTCACAAATAAGTAAGCTAGAAAAGTGGCTCCAGATAGAAGCAAGTCCAGTTTAAGCCTACAGACAGGATGTTAATTACAAACATAATGAGCCTTCAGTTGCAGTAAGTCATTTAAAGTATTTATAATAACATTAAGTCTTAAATTATATAAGAAAAAGATATGTCATTCACATTTTAGTATCAACTACTTTAGGGAAGCTAGCTTGAATTTCTTGATTAAAATTAAGTACAGTGATATATTTGGATGTTTCATGGTATTCTTATACATTTTTTCTTAGAATTGGCGTGATTTGGATGCAAGAATAACAGATACAGCAAATGAATCAAAGGATAATGTCAGATATTTGTACACTCTAGAAAAAGTATGTCAACCTTTATATAACTATGACCTAGTAAGTATGCTTTTTAAAGTGTAGTTTGAAAAATAACTCATTTTAAAGTAGCTTTATAATATATGTGTATTGGGAAATATATACTGCAGACAAGTTATTTAAAAGATATACTTTCCTGTTATATAGCCATCATGAATTAAAAACTCATTTAAACCTGATATTGATATTATCATAAGTATAATCTCATTTGTGAGTTTAATTAATTAATTCATTGATGCATAACAAATTACCCCAGACTGACTGACTTAAGAAATAAGCATTTACCACATCACAGTTCCTGTAGGTCAAGAATCCAGGCATAGCATAGCTTGAGTGCCTCTACCTCATGGTCTCTCATGAAGTTGCAGACAAAACTGTTAGCTAGGAATGTGGTCTCACTGTAGTGGAGGCTGACAGCTGGAGGGTCCACTTCTAAGCTCACTCACATGGTTGTTGGAAGGCCCTAGTTGCATAGCACATGAGCCTTTCAATAGGGTAACTTGCTTCCCTTAGGGTGAATGATCCAGAAGTGAGCAAGAGAGAGTGCCCAACCAGCATTATCCTGATATCAAAGCACTACAAGAAAAGAAAATTACAGGTCAACATCCTTGATGAATGTAGATGCAAAAATTTTCAACAAATACAAGCAAACCAAATTCAAGAGCACATTGAAAGGATCATACACCTGACCAAATGGGAATTATTCCTGGGATGCAAAGATGGTTCAACATATGCAAATAAATACATGTGATATACAGAATTAATAAAATAAAAGAAAAAATTATATGATCATTTCAATAGATACAGAAAAATCATTTGATAAAATATAACATCCTCTCGTGATAAAAACTCTCAACAACTTGAGTACAGAAGGAATGTACTTCAACATAATAAAAGCCATATATGACAAGCCCATAGCTAACATCATACTCAAGAGTAAAAACTGAAGGCTTTTTCTCTAAGATCAGGAACAAGACAAGAGTGCCCACTTTTGCCAATTTTATTCAACATAGTACTGGAGGTCCTAGCTAGAGCAAACAATAAAAAAGAAATAAAAGGCATTCAAATTGGAAAGGAAGAAGTAAAATTGTTTCTGTTTATAGATGATATGATATTGTATATGGAAAACTCTGAAAAATCCACCAAAAACTCTTAGAACTAAAACAAATTCAGTAAAGTTGCAGGATACAAAATTACATACAGAAATTAGTTGCATTTCTATGGACTGACAACAAAACATTTGAAAAGAATTAAGGAAAACAATCTCATTTACAATATCATAAAAAAATAAAATACTCAGGAATAAATTTATTCAAGGAAATGAAAGCTCTGTACCCTGAAAGCCGTAAGACTTTGATGAGAGAAAATGAAGAAAACAAAAATAAATGGAAAGATATCCCCCATGTTCATGGATTGGATGAATGACTATTGTTAAAATTTCCTTACTACCCAAAGCCATCTATAAATTCAATGCAATCCTATCAAAATTCCAATGGCATTTTTTTCAATAATGGAAAAAAATCCTAAAATGTGTATGGAACCACAAAAGACCCCCACTAGCGAAAACAATCCTGAGAAAGAACAAAGCTAGAGACATTGCACTTCCTGATTTCAAGCTATACTGCAAGGCTGTAGTAACCAAAACTGTATGGTACTGGCATAAAAATAGACATATATACCAATTGGACAGAAACAAGAGCCTAGAAAGAAATCCTTGCATATATGATCCAAAAAATTGACATGGGAGCCAAGAATATTCAGTGAGGGAAGAATATAGTCTCCCCAGTAAATGTATTGGGAAAACTGGATAATCACATGCAAAAGAATAAAATTAGATCCCTATCTTATATTGCTTACAAAAATTAACATCGAATGGATTAAAAACTTAAATGTAAGACCTAAAACCATAAAACTCCTGGAAGAAAACACAGGGGGAAATCTCCATGACATTGGTTTTAGGAATGATTTTTTGGATATGACACCAAACATACAAGCAACAGAAGCAAAAATAAGTAAGTGCGACTACATCAAACTAAAAAGCTTCTGTACAGCAAAAGAAATAATCAACAGGGGAGGGGGCTGGGGGGATGGGTTAGCCTGGTCATGGGTATTAAAGAGGGCACATTCTGCCCAGTGCTCTGTGGAGCACTGGGTGTTATGCACAAACAATGAATCATGGAACACTACATCAAAACTAATGATGTAATGTATGGTGATTAACATAACAAAAAAATAAAAAAATTAAAAAAATAAAAACAGACAAAAAATAATCAACAAAATGAAAAGGCAACCTATGGAATGGGAGGAAATACTTGCAAATGGTATGTGAGATAAGGAATTAATGTTCAAAATAGGTAAGAGTTCATTCAACTCAATAACAAAAAACAACAAATGCAATAAAAAATGGGCAGAGGAACTGAATGGATGTTTTCTCAAAGAAGTCATCCAAATCAATGAGTACATGAAAAGATGCTCAACATCAGTAATCAGGGAAATGCAAATCAAAATCACAATGTGATATTACCTTACACCTCACACTTATTAGAATGGCTATCATTAAAAAGACAAGAAGAGCTGGCGAGGATGTGGAGAAGATGGAACCCTTGTGCACTGATAGTGGGAATGTAAATTGATGCAGCCACAATGGAAAACAGCATAGAGGTTCCTCAAAATGCTAAAAATAGCACTACCATATGATCCAGCAATTCCACTACCAGGTATCTATCCAAAGTAAATGAAATTAGGATCTTGAAAAGATGCACTCCCATGTTCTTCACAGCATTACTCATAATAACCAAGATATGAAAGAAACATAAGTGTCTATCACTGGATAAGTGGATAAAGATTATATATAAAAATTATATTATGTATATTTTTATATATTTATATATATATATAATGGAATATTATTCAACTATAAGAAATCCTGCCATTTGTGACATATATGGACCTTGAGGACGTTATGTTAAGTGAAGTAAGTCAGACGGAGAAAGACAAATACTGTATGATCTCACTTATATGTGGAATCTAAAAAAGTCAAACTCATGGAAACGGAGTAGAATGTTAGTTGCCAGGGCTGGGAGTGGGGGAAATGGGAAGATGTTGGTCAATGGATACAGAATTCCAGGTATAAATCAGGAAGTTTTGGAAATCTAATGTACAGCATGGTACCTTTTAGCCTTTCTTTAGATAGAGGGGAAGTCAGGGAAACTGTATTTGTTGAGAACTTAGGGCAGTGTTTCCCACTTTTGACTGGGTGTTGTCTCTTTTGTGAATCACACGTAGGCAGGAGAGTTGCCCAGACAGTTGTGTTTTTAAAGATGTTCACCATCTTGGGAACCCCTGGCCTTTTATTGTAGGCATTGTACTACCTACTTTCCATGTATTTTCATTCTGTATGCACAACAATCCTCATTTTAAAGATTAGGAAACAAAATTGGAATTGAGTATTTCTACACCTATAAGTCATGAGACTGAATTTGAATCCAGCACTATTTGGCATTATGCATTGTATTTGTTTCTACTTCTCCATGCTGCTTCTTCAAGGTATTCTCTAAGTTTTTTTTTTTTTTTGTTTTTTAAAATTTTTTTATTTTATTTTAATCACCATACTTTACCTCATTAGTTTTTGATGTTGTTCCATGATTCATTGTTTGCGTATAACACCTAGTGCTCCATTCAGTACATGCCCTCTTTAATACCCATCACCACGCTAACCCATCCCCCCACCCCCCTCCCCTCTAGAACCCTCAGTTTGTTTCTCAGAGTCCATAGTCTCTCATGGTTCATCTCCCCCTCCGTTCCTCCCCCCTTCATTTTCCCCTTCATATTATTTTCTTTTTTTAAAAAAACATATAATGTATTATTTGTTTCAGAGGTACAGGTCTGTGATTCAACAGTCTTACACAATTCACAGAGCTCACCATAGCACATACCCTCCCCAATGTCTATCACCCAGCCACCCCATCCCTCCCACCTCCACCACTCCAGCAACCCTCAGTTTGTTTCCTGAGATTAAGAATTCCTCATATCAGTGAGATCACATGATACATGTCTTTCTCTGATTGACTTATTTTGCTCAGCATAATACCCTAGAGTTCCATCCATGTCATTGCAAATGGCAAGATTTCATTACTTTTGATGGCTGCATAATATTCCATTTTATGTATACACCACATCTTCGTTATCCATTCATCTATCAATGGACATCATGGACCTTTCCATAGTTTGGCTATTGTGGACATTGCTGCTATAAACATCAGGGTGTATGTACCCCTTTGGATCCCTACATTTGTATCTTTGCAGTAAATACCCAGTAGTGCAATTGCTGGGTCGTAGGGTAGCTCTATTTTTCAACTTTTTGAGGAACCTCCATACTGTTCTCCACAGTGGCTGCACCAGCTTGCATTCCCACCAACAGTATAGGAGGGTTCCCCTTTCTCCGCATCCTCGCCAACATCTGTCATTTCCTGACGTATTAATTTTAGCCATTCTGACTGGTGTGAGGTGGTATCTCATTGAGGTTTTGATTTGGATTTTCCTCATGCCAAGCAATGTTGAGCACTTTTTCATGTGTCTGTTGGCCATTTGGATGTCTTCTTTGCAGAAATGTCTGTTCATGTCTTCTGCCCATTTCTTGATTGGATCATTTGTTCTTTAGGTGTTGAGTTTGATAAGTTCTTTATAGATTTTGGATACTAACCCTTTATCTGATATGTCATTTGCAAATATCTTCTCCCATTCTGTCGGTTGTCTTTTGGTTTTGTGGACTGTTTCTTTTGCTGTGCAAAAGCTTTTTATCTTGATGAAATCCCAATAGTTCATTTTTGGCCTTGCTTCCCTTGCCTTTGGCGATGTTTCTAGGAAGAAGTTGCTGTGGCTGAGGTCAAAGAGGTTGCTGCCTGTGTTCTCCTTTAGGATTTGGATGGACTCCTGTCTCATGTTTAGGTCTTTCAACCATTTGGAGTCTATTTTTGTGTGTGGTGTAAGGAAATGGTCCAGTTTCACTCTTCTGCATGTGG